AAAAAATATATATTTATGGTTAACAACAAGCATCGCATCGTTTTGGTGTTGTCGAATTGCTCAAAGAAAGATGCGGATTACATTCGCAGACTAAATTTTTTTACCACTATACATTTTTAAAATTGGGGTGCGGATTAGATTCGAGTGCGGATAAGATTCGAGAAAATACGGTATTTTGTGTTTTGACAGTTACTAATTGTCAATTCAAAGTTTCTATTTTCAAGTGTTACCAACTGCTACATACCTATTCCCTACATTGCCAAAATTGACTTTATTTTTGTTAAAAAAAAGTATAAAAACGCGAATTACAAAAAATAGCATAAAAAACACGTTTCATAAGACTTAAAGCACTAATTCATTAAAAAATTTCAAGCGTGTCTTACGAAACTTGTTTTTTAATATACTATTAAAAGCTTTCGATTCACTCAGAAATAACAAGATATCTTTGAGCATTTTACAAAATTGTTGCAAAATGTCTAGATATATTTGGAAAATTGTGGAAAATTTTGGTTTAAGTTTTTTTCTCAAAAACGATAAACGCTAGGAAAATGAAAATTGGGGAATATGTTTAACTCATAATAGGGCACGTTTTGACCCTATTTGTACTTTCAACCTACTCTTCTAAGTTACTAAACATAACCACACCAGTTCAATTTTTGTCTAGATTTTTCTTATGACGGTGATAAATACATTGGAAATATTTTATTTAGATAGATGAAAATATTCTAAAACTTTTTTGCCTCTCTGATGTTCTTCGAAAAGTTAATAGTTTCTGAGAAAAAAATTAATTAAGCGAACACTAACTGTTAAGCTGTAGGGTTGTTAATCGAAAGTTGGAATGAATTTTTAATGAAAAAATCTTAGTAGGCTTTGCAATCTTTGTCAGAAATATTTTTGACGTTTAAATATCAGTAGTTTTCTTACTATTATTATTGTTTTATTTAAAATTTTGAAACGTCGAGTGAACGAGCGTGAATGCGATAGAACTTTATTTAAAAAACAATTATAATAGTAAGAAAAACACTGACATTTAAATGTCAAAAATATTTCTGACAAAGATTACAAAGCCTACTAAGATTTTTTCAATAAAAATTCATTTCAACTTTTGATCAACAACCTCGTTGTTTAACGAGCAGTGTATGCTTTATTATTTCTTTTCTCAAAAATTAATCGTTTTTGGAAAAATTTTAGAGAGACAAAAAAGTTAGGATACTTTCATCTACCTATGTAAATTTTTTTTAAATGTATTTACCATCTGCATAAACAAATCTAGGCATAAATTGAACGGCGGTGGTTACGTTTAGTAGTTTAGAAGGGTAGGTTGAAAGTACAAATAGGGTCAAAACGTGCCCTATTATGAGTTAAACATATTCCCCAAATTTCATTTTCCTAGCGTTTATTGTTTTTGAGAAAAAAAAATTAAACCAAAATTTTCCGCCATTTTTGGAGGGGTGTAGCTCCTTAGGGGAGCCGAAGTCGCCCATGGTTCATATATCAAAGTACTCTTAAAATTCACTAAAGAATCACCCCTTGAAGTTTGTTGCAGTCATTCAGATACATCCTGTATAAAGTTATTTGGTGCTCGAAGGTGCATAACCTAAAAATATTTTTGTTTATACAGGGTGTTGCAAAAACAAAGTACAAGGTACAACTTCGTAAATTTAAATGAAACACCCCATATTTTATTACATTTTTGAATTACCCTTAAAATTCGACATACTTTTTCTTAAGCATTACCTATACTAAAATTTTACCGTTTTTGAAATATTCAACATTTTGTGAAAAAATCATGAAATTATAAAAGAAAGCATACCCAATTTATTTAAGACCCTACAAAGCAAATCTTTTGTAGATTATTAATGCATAGTTACAGTAACTTCATGCCCCTATAAAAATCTGGTAACCTTCTACAGGGTGTTCGTAATATTGTACTCAATACCAGAAACTTGAAATAGCTATATCTCATTTTTTTTAAATGGAATGCCTCATATTTTTTTATCTTAAATTATTCGCCAAGTAATAAGGTTTCTTTTTTATAAAGCATGTCCTATACCTATTGTCCTATAAATAACTTGATAACTAATGTATATAATACAGGGTGTCTCAGCGAGACCGGTCATTAGACGTTTCTGTGGTTCTGGCCAAAATAAAAAATTGAGAATTCAGACTTAAGTATTATCAATTCCGTTCTCTTCGTCTAAAATATTTTCAGATTTCTAGCACTTCCGGTTATACTGGAAGTCGCCACCTACTTTATTTTTTTAAATGGAACACCCTGTATATTTTTACATATTTGAATTTATCTGTTTTCAGGGTTTATAAATAACTCACCTGTATATAATTACTCATTTTAAAAATACTTGTTACTTATTACTTGGAGCAAAAATAATTTATAGCGTTACTTCTACTGGTTACTGGGAGTACTTTTCCTTTGTACTTATAACAGCTCTGTTATCAACATACTTTTTCCTGAAATGTCTGGTGTGGTCTTCTTGGTGACAATCTCATCGACCCTTTCGGTGTCCCTTCTCACTTTTCTCATCTTGCCACTGATTATTTAAACAAAGCATATTGTAACCGATAGATTGGTCGAAACGGACACCGTTACATTATTTTGTGTGGGGCTGGATGAAATCTATGGTTTGCTCTACGTCTATCGGCACCCAAGAAGAGCTCAGAAATCGCATCTTGGAAGCCGCAGTAATTATTAGTTGCCGTCCCGATGATATAAAACTTGCCAGAGAAGCTTGGATTCATCGTGCTCAATGCTGCATTCAACAAAACGGGAATCATTTTGAACATTTACTCTGACTGCTTCATTGACAATCAAAATTTTTCATTTTCAATATTTCAGTAATAAATTAATTTGAAACATTTTGGTTTGTTTTGTACTGAAGAATACATCTCTAAAATAGTGCCGTGTAATACTGAGACGCTCTGTATATACTTAAATAAGACCCTTTATTAGTTATCAGTGCCTTTTATTATTATAAATATTTATAAATATAACACATGTATTTAATACATCTCTTATTTATCTTTGTAATCATCTCAATAATTATATAACTTTAATGATTTGCTTGCATTGTAGCATAAGCATAAGCCCCTTGCATTATCTTAAAAAATTCAAATTAAATTTTACATCAAAATTAATCAAATATTTTACATTTTTGAATGTGACCATCGATAATTCCCCGAATTTCCCGCATTCCAATGTGATGGGCTTTTGCGCCCTTAAAATCATCATTAAAATATCCCTCCTTAGCTTGGTATCTTTGTACCAATCCAGCTCATAAGCAACAACTGCTACTTCAATGCTCTAAAACATTATATATATTTGTTGATTAAGATCTTCTTTAATTAAGAGACGCACTAACCGCTTGCATAACCTGTTCACCTAGATAACAAGAAAAAAACAAAGCTCCAATCCAAGTTATAGTCGGTAAAAAAGTTAAAACTGAAATTCCAGTCATCATCCCCATGCATCCAATCCCAATAACGATGTTGTGGCTAACAATGCATGGGAAGGTGACCCAAGCGAAGCACTCATTAATATAATCTGCAAGTCTACAAAATATATATATACAGGATGTCTCACGTAACAACTTTTTTAGGTTCTACTATTCGTAAGTATATACTGTATTATTTTGTTTTGTTCGAATTAATTAAATTATATAAACCAAATTTTTTACAAATAAATCACACAGAAAACATATAACAATTATTTAATTGGATAACAACGAACAAAACATACATTTTTTTGTTAAATTAAAGAACATGAATCTCAGGGACAAAAAAAAAATTAAACGCAAGTTCATGGAGGAAATTTACGAACTAAATATAAAATAGAGCATAAAGAAATCTGTGCAAGAAAGAGGTAACTCCTTTATAAGAGTTGAAATTGACAAAGCTTATACGCGTTAATTTATAAGGGTCTTTTAAGATTGATTTTTTTATTTTAATCGCGAGGGTTGTAAAAATTAAAGTGTTCGATAAAAGGAAATTATGTTCACTTAACTTGTTTCCGGAGGTGTGAAATTTAGTTCTCGGGAACAGGATGGAACATTGGACTCGATCTCAGGTATGGGTTCGATTTCTTCGCAGATAATTTAGAAACACTTGTTTACTTTTACTAGATAAAAGTAAATTGAGTTGTCAAAAAAAATTCTAAGTTCAAACTTAGATTAGAAATTTTTAGGTTAAATTGACGTAGATTCGACAACGCTTCGCTCTAGCCAAAATTGAACTCTCCCGGCAGAGACAAGGAAGAATAGAGATGGCCAACTCTACCTTATTAAATTGTACCTTGCGTACAGCGCCATCCGATGTCACCGCAGAGTACTAATCATAGATTAAAACCCAAGGTTTATATATAAGAGGTTGTCTAGGTTCGTACGCAACCATACTGCGCATTACGTCACATGTAGAAAATAATACCGCCAAGCAATTCAAATTAAACAAAGGCATGGAGCACCACATGGCCATGAGGTTGCGTGCGCAATCCGTGATCGCTTACGTCACGAAACACTCCTGCTCTTGCCCCTCGCCCACAAACTAAAATCAAAGTATTGCAGCATAGGAACTTAGATAACCTTTAATATATAAACCTTGATTAAAACCAACTTCGACTAGGATAATGGTGTAAAACTGAGCTAACCAACGATCCGGCAACATTGTTCGCTGCGCATCGAAGCGAAGTGAGCGACGTTGCCAGATCGTTAGGGCTAACTTTAACCGCCAAATTTAAAAATAACACAATTAATATTGCTTTAAAAAGGAAATAAATATATTTTAAATGAAAGATCTAATTTCAACATACTAATTTATTATTCACAAAACTAATAAAATTTGGTAACATAAATAAAATATAAGTACGAAGGCTTTCACGGCCGGTGTAATTAAACTAGAACTAATAGTAGCACTATCGAAGACGACTCGAATCACTTCGAAAGTTTCTAGCTAGTGTTAGTTCTAGTGATAGTGCTACTATTAGTTCTAGTTTTAGTTCAATAAACAAAATAATGTTACATTTTGTTTACCCTAACAGTTTTTGTAGCGTCTTCCTGGATGGTAATGAAAAGAAATTTGATAAGAACCGGTTTTTATGGTATTTACCAATTATTTCTTTTTCATCACTTACGTGGAACCGTTTCCCATTCATTTCTAATGAAGTGACAGAATTTTCCTCACAAAATGAGGTTGAAGCAATTTCGCAACCTTGTTGTTTACTACATCCAGGATAGACTTGCGTAACAGTTGAACTAGTTACACCAGGAAGTTTGTCGGGGCATACATATGTGGGGGTATAAATATATACAGGTGTATCTGAATGACTGCAACAAACTTCAAGGGGTGATTCTTTAGTGAATTTTAAGGGTACTTTGATATATGAACCATGGGCGACTTCGGCTCCCCTAAAGAGCTACACCCCTCTAAAAATGGCGGAAAATTTTAGTTTAATTTTTTTTTCTCAAAAACCATAAACGCTAGGAAAATGAAATTTGGGGAATATGTTTAACTCATAATAGGGCATGTTTTGACCCTATTTGTACTTTCAACCTACCCTTCTAAA